TGAAGGTTGCTTTCCTGCATATGAAATTTGAAGTTGCACAGATAGCTGAGAGCATGTACTGGGAACGTAAACCCGAGGGAGCTCATCTTTCTCCAAGTAAAACGAGAGTCAATGTCCTACAAGTTAAAGACACATGGTTGCAGTGGCAGATCTACTATGAAATTAATGAAGCTTATGCTTCAGGACCCTTAATCCCATAGGGGCCCCTGAAGCAACTTTTTTTAATGAATTAATTTTTCAACAAAATTGATGTATTTTTTTAAAATCATTTGTTATTAAGATAAGGCTATTCCAGTGATAGAATCATAAGCCAATGGGTTAAAGTAGCCAATGTTGATCTTAGAATATGCTTTAATACCCATTTCATATGGCTTCAAAGTTTTCCTGTAATTGGTCAAATTTCAAAATTTTCTTGCAGCACTCAGACTACCAGCTGCATGGGCTCATTGATCTTGCCAGCCTACATTTCAGCAGTTGGATTCTCAAAGTTATTATTGCTGGTTGTGAAGGGGCTCCCCTATCTGTTCATCTTTAGGACTCCAAAAATCTAAGTCCACCATTGCATGGCTGTGGATTCCATTGGTGCAACCCTCTACACTGTTGACTTCAGTTGAAGAAGCCCTCTGCCCAGTTATGCCATTTCAACACCATACTGGCTGCATCCATAGCTATGGAAGTCTATCTACTCCATTATGCTAGATGGCTGTTGACACTACAAAAAGGTTCATCTGCCTTTTGACAGGTTTTGTTTTTAATCCTGCTGGATGTCTATAGCCAACCTTCCCACTAGAAAGGCCTGGTGGGGGAAGCAATTTAGTCACTGATGACTTAACCATGCAGCTGGTAGTACTGGGTTACAGGGTACCAGTAGTATTCATAGAATGACCTGACATTTCAGTATGTATATGCACTAAAAAGATCCTGTCAACAAAATCCTACAAATAAATGAAGAAAATGTGATAGAAATCCTATAACTCTAGTTAACAGGGTGCAGACTTATTTTGATTCATACAAATAATAATATTTAAACAACACTCAATTGAGTAGTATTACTTTATATAAATTTACACAATGACCTCTTTAATCCTGTAGTCTGTGGTCTGCCAACTCTCATGATCCGGTACTTTTTTTTGAATCAGCCACTAGTTCATAAGCTTTGTTCCAATTTTGATAACTCAGCAACCAATATATGTGTGGAATTAACTGGCAAAACTATGTTTATATAGGTTTTTTTAGGAGTGATTTATATTGTTGCAGAGGAAAAATATGTATATATCAGAAGGTATTATTTGTGTTAGCTGCATGTTAAACTTCTCCGCAAACATTTAACTTTGGGTATGGCACAAGGTCATCAACGACAAAAAAAAACAAACAATATTCCTTTAGAAAAACAAGAATAAAGCATTTATATAACAAATAAGTACAACATGAGAATGAGAATGTTCTTTAGGACAGCTTGTTCAGTGTTCCTGTCAGTAAAAGGATTTTCAAAGAATTAATTAGTTCTGATTAATTAATATTTTACCGTAAATTTCTGTCATAATGTGGTATTGGAGATTAAGGTAAGAAGAGTTCTCGCCCTTTACCTGTTGAATATTGAATATATATATTTTTTGTTAATGAAACAGATAAAAAGATGGAAGTTTAAATATTACATGAATAAAGTTGATTCAACAAATGAGTAAAGTGTTTTGAAGAAAGTATGTTTTGTTCTTCCTGGAAAGTTTGTTGTAATCGAAATTGGTAAATGAAATGTTGGTTGATATCAAAAGTTGAATTTTTTGTTTAAAAGATAAACTTTTAAGCTTATAGCTTTTGAGTAAATTGTGCATTAAATATTAATCTTTTGGCTGTAAGATAGTTACTTGAAGTAAGTTTGTGTTAGGTCATGTTCAAAGTTGCTTTTTGAATAAAAAGTTTGTTTGGCAAACTGTATGTTCTTTGAATAGAATTCTTGTTGTCTTGATAAAAATCATAGATATTAAAATTGAAGTGTAGTTTGTTGGTGAGTGAGTGAATTTGAAGTTTGGGATTATGTTACAAAATCTAAAACTGGAATATGCGGGTACAAGAGGAGGACAACAACACTCAGAAAACAGTCTGCCTGCCTTACGTGAAGGGGTTATTAGAGAAAATACAAAGGATCTGTGGTTCCTCAGGACAACCTTCAAAAGATGGATGACACTTCGCAGATATCTCTCCCGAGTAAGACCCCCCCATAGAGAAGAACATGACTAAAGACTGTGTGTACTCTATGCCGTGCAGCTGCGGAAAGAAATATAAAGGTGAGACAAGCCGCCCCCTTAAGGTAAGGCTTCAAGAACACCAGAAAGCTGTAACATGAGGAGAAGTGGAAAAATCAGGTGTGGCTGACCACATATGGAGAGAAAAGGGAGATCACTGCCCTCTGTGAGATCAGGTTGAGATCATAGACAAAGAACACCATTGGAAAATTCATAAACAAGGAATCAGCATATATGCTAGGCCACAAAAATCTCCTGAGCCGACCAAGCATAGAAATGAATACAATATGAGAACCAGTAATAAGGAGTGCCAGAGAAAATTGATAATAACATCAAAAATTGCAATATGAGCACTGGTAAAAAACGTTTGCTGATGACATTAGGTTTATAATACCCAGAAATTCATAAGTTCATGTGCGTGTGTTATAGCATCATCCCATAAGTCCAAGTATTTATAATTTTGTATGTTACATGACCAGCTCAAGAACACAGACAGATTTTGGCAGTAAATTAATTTTAACCATGCAGACATAGACAAAGACATGATATTGGCATTAATTGATCAATCAGGAGTCAGAGAAATATCAAGGCTCTGTGATTCACTTTGGTGTTTAGTTGGTACAAAAACTGACATTGAAAGAAAGTGGTAGCAGAATGCTAAAATATCATCTGACATTTTCTGTAGTCTGTCAGTATCCTGGTCCCATGTGTACTGGATTAAATCATGTATATATGGGTGGGAGTATAGTGGTTGCTATGTTTTTCACACCTACATACAATCCAAGTCATTTTATTCACCTGTGATTGGCTAATAAATTACTACTACCTTTGTATAGGACAATTTAGCCATCGCAGTCGTTCCTTTGAATATTTTGGTTCTGAACATACTTACCTATTCTGTTTAGTACGCGTGTAGTGGTTGGTTAATTTTTAACCAATCACATATTTTTAATGTAATATCAAGTTTTCCCACAGTTCCGTGGGAGCCTACCTCTTTTCCTTAAATAGGGAGACTCTTCACAAGTCGCCAGTAAGATCCAAGCCGTCAACACGAATCCACGATCTTGCTCATCACACTTTAACGCACACACAGACACAGAATTTCTTAACTACAAACTTGCATTTTCTCTCTGTAACTTTCACGAAGCACAATTAACCAGAACTTTGTGGATTCAAACCAGTTTATTCACAAGACATTTCAAGCAATTGTATTTGTGGTGTTATTCATTCTTCACATGCAAACTTTGCTCTGACAATTATTTCGGAACATTTATCTCACAAGAGAACTTTCTTCAAACAGTTGATTACAATCAATCTACAGTCAAAGGGAAAGAACTTCCTTCTCTTTAATCTACATTGTGAATACAATTTTATTTCATGCTTGTTGTATCTTATTCAATATATATTTGTTGGTTAACAAATTGGAGTTATTATTTCTTGAATCCTGTACGTGGAAGAATCACTAATATAAATAGTGGTAGTACCTATATATTTGATGTTCCTGCTACATTTAGTGAATTGACCCAATGCTATATTTGGTACGTATGCTACAGGGAGAAGAAATACAGGCTCCAATTACAATTTTACGTTGAGAAATGCTGAAGATACAACAATACATAATTTTAAATTTAATTTTTTTTAATTTTTGGTATCTTCATTCAAAAGTATAGAGCTTTTTTCCTTATTTATTTACTACTTTTTATTAATAATTTATTTTTAACTAATCTTCTATATCTTTTTCTTTATAATAGGAGTAATTTTGTAATAGATATTCTTTTTCTTTTTATATGTGCTATGTCAATTCAGAAAATGGATGATCTTGGCTCTACACAACCTCCTGACCTTTGTAGCTCTTAGTAAGGTTTGTCTTTTTGCTATCCTGTTCTCATTAGGCAAGTTATTCACTTTTTTCCTCTGTCCGTCTTGTCTTCACATGTCCTGTAAGTGTAAAATTCTCAAAGTCTTCTTTCCCTCATTATGTGCCATAGAAATTTTAACTGTTACTTTCTGATCCTAACTATCAGTGTCGTTTAATTTTCATTAAAACTTCTGTGTTACTCACATGTTCAGTCCATGGTTTTTCTCAGTATCTTTCTGTAGAACCACTTTTAAAAAAGTTATGACTTGAAATTGATTAAATAAAAAATAATTTAGAACAAAGCAATGAGAAGGCATCAAATTATAGTTGAGATTAAACAAAAATACTTTATCATCATTAAAAATACAATATTAAAATTTTAATGATGAAATAATTTTTTTAATGTCACCTATAATTTGATAGCCTCTCATTGTCTTAATCTAAATTATTTTTATTCAGTCACTTATATTTTAAATATAGTCGTTAATTTTTACTTTACAATTTTGAAAAATTAAATTTGTATTCATTTATACTATTTAAAAATACATATGCTCAGTCTTTTTCTCCTGTTTTTAACATAAAACACACACGATTTCAGTTTAAATTTTTATTGTCTTGATAATTTTATTTTCAAGGCTTTTTTCTAATCAAAAAATCTTACAAAAAATTTGATCATATACTCAATTATGAACATATTTTTAATGATTTTCAATTAAAAATAAATATTAAGCTCTAAAAGAAATGTTTTAAATTTAGAAAAAAAAAGAACGCATCAGCAAAGTTATCTCCCTTGTGGCCTATTTTATTTTTATTTTTTTTTTATTTTATTTTTTTTATAGAATGCGGGTTTTGTGTCACTGTGAAGATTATCGCTGCGAACAGCCATCATCACCTTGGTAATGGCACAGGCTTTATTCGATGCCCTTTCAGGTGAGCACCTAAAATTTACCATTTTTTCACTTCATAAACCAGATATCGACTTTCTTTGCTCTTTTTCAACATGACACAACTTGCAGATTGCCTTTATAGGTCGAAAAACAGCATTTTCATTGCTGCTTCACGTAGGAGGGTGTCGCCATGTTGAATCCACTATCTGCACAAAATCGCAACCTTTTCGCAGTAATTGTTCGATAAAAATCGCCTGGTAGCGAACTGAAATTGCCTCCAGAATATCTAAAATTATCCATCAGATTATTCCAACTTGAAAAGTAACCAGCATTTTTGTCATCTGAAGGTAAAATTTGCCATCGAATGGTTCCCCCCCGCCTGGGTGTCAACATGGCTGTTGGAACGGCACAAAACAAAAAAGTAGGAACAACAACAACGACGAAAACGACGGAGGTGGAGGTGGTGATAAGCTAGCCCTCTGTCGATCGCTCTTAACCGGCAATTCATTTCAACTGTTTAAGCATTTATTTTGGATTTAAGGAATTGAAAAGTAACCTTTGTTAGTTCTTTTGTAAATCAACAATCACCCGTCAACCCTTGTTATCACTATGTTTGATAATGCTAGTTGTGACAGTGAAACCATTGACCACCTGTGTATTTTGTACCCTACCTTTTTTCTTTGTTATTGAAAATAAAAATAAAACTTACCCTTCCTTATCTTTTTTTGCGTTATCTATCACTTAAATTCCGTGATTGAGGAAAAGACGAAATTAGTTCAAAGAATTGAAAAAAAAAAAAGATTTATATACTAACTAGCCTGAATTTTCTTTTAATTTTTTTCATTTACCGGGCATGATGGGTAGTATTTTTTTGTTAGGTCTGCTAGCCCAGGTTCGAATTCGCCTCACGTTTAAAAAAAAATTATAATTTATCGATCATTACACTAAATCATGTTTCGTCAGAACAAAATGACGAAATTACTCAATCAAAATATTTTACTATTTAAATTGCGAAATTTGGTCAATTTTTCCTGACGAAATGATCGATATTTTTATTTTATATATAATATAATAATCAGAAATTTCGTAAATATAACTTTTTCGAAATTGTGAGTTTTTTTTAAAATGTAATTCGGAATAAAATTCCTTACGTTATTAAATTTCCTCTTAAGAAATACCAACCACAATCTTTAGTGTTAAAAAAAAAAAATTAACAAAGGAATTCTCCTTCCATGAAGTTCTAATTTAAGAATATACGTTTAATACTTTTAAATTCAAACATCCAAACAACCCATGATTGTTGGAGTGCCATACACTGACCCTTCATGGCATTTCTTAGGGCAAATCAAATTCCTTTGTGGTACCCCTCTCCTCTCCAAGTAACGTGTAACAACAGGTTCTACTGGGTTAGATGGTCCCAACAGTAAAGAATAATCATTGATCTGACTCATTCTTGAAAAAGACAGTAGAGTACCTACTCTTTTTCATCTTCCTTACTCCCAATGGCTTTGGATTCAGGATAGTCCTAAACTGGCTGCCATCCAATGTTAGCGATCCCAGTCATCTCTTACAAAGTGCAAATGTTCAGGATTTGAATTCAGCTTGCTGATTCCATATTTTTTTAAATTCTAGAGCTTACTCAATACAAGGCTCGAGAGCCAATAAAGGTAGAGGATTACTGTTAAAATGGTAATAATGAATGAGCTATATGATATAAATGAAACAGGTGGTAGGAAGTAAGATTATGAGGATAAGGAGGATAATTGATACTTGACTTGAGATTAAGATTGTAGTGTTCAGAGAAGCACTTGTGTGTCAGTCTTTTACACAAAGTGGCAATTCTTAAGGAAAAGGCAATTGGAATTTTCTCCTTATATTTGGAATAAGAAGGAAATGATGGTGATTCAGCTCTGTGGAAGCAGCATGGCATGTCCTAGCTGTAAAAGTTTAAACTTGTGGAATTAAAGAATGGAGCTTATCTGAACATCTGCCATGGAAATAGCAATAGAATAGCACTAACCCAGAAAAATGTTTACCTCCAGCACTCTTAATAAAGAAACAACCAATCCATATATACTTATATTGTGTATGTATAACACTTTCCACAAAATCCTTGGCAGAAGTGTTGGGGTGCAACATTTTGATCATAGGTGAGTGCACAGATACTACACTGATCCTAGGCAGAGTGGCAGAAGTACTGATCTATATGCAATCTTGTCATATTTTACAAGTACTAAGTTAGCTATGATCTATTTGTTGTCTGTGTGTACTAGGCAATTCCACTGTTCACTCTCAATTACAATGAAATAATTAGGGACAACCAAAAAAGACATTCAAAAAAGGTATTGTCTTATGACCAAAGTGTTTTGTCTAAGCATTGGACATTTTACACTTGGATCTCCACCAGGTTAGTAATTAGTTAATGTAGATTATCTTGAAATATAAATCATTCTGCTTTTTAAGGCCCTACCGTAGGAATAAAGTAAAACATTAGTATTTGTTTTGTTTTTTTTGCAATGTGTCTGCATGTTTCCATTTTAATATAAATAAGTTTCTTGTACATTGTAAATAATAACGTTCTTTTTGCTTTCATTTTTGCAGGGGGCTCAAGTGCTACAGAGAACCAGACAGCTCTTGCTGTGCAATCCTTGCTTGACTCACAGGATGTCACAGAACAACCTCAAGCACAACAAGGTCAGGACTTTTAGAAAGCATATAAAAAAAAATTGGAATTGGCTAGTTTTTAATACATTATAGGATAAGTCTAGGAAAAAAAGTATTGAATCTATATTTGTTTGTCAATGTCATTAGAGTTCATAATATTTCTTAGAAAGTATATTTCAGCTTCATTTTCTTTACATTAAAGGTTAAAAAGTACTCAACATATTTTTACTGAACTGATGAAAATAAGTATTTATCAAAACCAAATGTTTGAAAATGAGAGTTTTGCTTTGTGCTGTAAAAATTGGTAACAAACAGCTATTTGTTGAACCATGTTGGTTTTAATGCCAGATTATATTCAAATTATAGGCAAATGTTCATTAAAGCAGCATTTGTGTAATAGGAATTTGAGAACAGTTTGCTACTGCAAATGCTGCCAATTAAATGCACCATGCACCAGATTTGGAACTCAAGGACAGAGAACATTCTTGAAAACTTCGGAACTTCAAAGTACTAACAACACATGAATTTGCATAAAAATTAGAGATTAATTCATCAATTGGAGTACATTGTTTACAAGTTTTCTTGTTTTTTTTAATCAGTTCACCCCAAGCAAGGCAATAATGCCACTAAAACACAAGGAGACATTGGGAGTGAAAACAGAATGAGAAGACCTCAGAAGGAACCAAAAACCCAATCCTAAACAAGAAACAAGGGATATACCTCTACTTCTGTTCAATGTTTTTCTTTATCTTATATTCTTTCACATTCTGTAACCCCCTACATCCTAGTGGTTTTATTGCCTTGTGAAATTATTTTAAAAAATGACCTGGGAGGAGTGTAAACAGGATGATAGGCAAATCTATCTAATTTTGTTGAAGAAAAAATAAATAAATAAAAATATAAATAGTAAATAAAATTTCAGAGTTTAGGTGGAGACAGTAGGAGTATAGAGTTGAAGTAGACTTTAGAAAGAACCAGAAACCCAATCCTAAACAAAAACCTTCAGAAGAAAATATTGTAGTGACAACCTTACTGTTAACAAGAAAAACAGTGGAAATAACAAAACAATAAATGAAGATAAGTAGTGGTTGAAATAAATCAAAATAAGAGTTTTTATTCTCTGTCTTTTAAAGTTCAGTCATTTACTTGTTCCAGTGTATCATATATCAGTTATAAGAGACAGAGTTTATTCAAGTAATTGTTGAAATAGACACATGGAGAAAATCCACACACATGTAGTTGATAGAAACTGACCCATAGGAGAAAATATTCCACAAATTATTGCATTGTAGTAGTTGAGAGTAGTTGCAGCTGATTTTGTCACTTGCTAACTGCTTTGATGTTGCTGATGACTTGGTTAAGCTTGCCTGCCTTCATGGGTGAAATTAGCATTGTCTTTATAGTCAGTCAGTAGCTCAGAAATGGCTGCTTTAAAAACCATGTGGACCTTTCCTGTTTCTCAGAAAAAATGTATTATGACCTTGTGAATTTTTGGACAATATTTCAGAAGTGGGTACATGGAGCCAGACTGTTATTGTCATATGAGCTTTAGATGTCAAAGTGAGTACTTCTGTTTGAGTTCTGAAAGGGTATGACAATATGTTCTACAAGAACTTAAACAAAAGTTCTTGTCATTCTCCTTTTGCTCAACTCACATAAAAAATATTTTTAAAGATGATTTTCACTGGTAATAAATATTGGCTTTATTACAATAATTTAAAATGAAGAAAATATGAAAGAATGAAAAATAATAGAGTATTGAATTTTTTTATAAATGTTTTGCATTGTAAATTTTGTAAGTAGTGTTGGAACTGACTGAGACATGATATATATTTTTTTACTTTTAGAACCATAAGCATTCACTAAAGATTTTTGTAACAAATATCAAAACAAGAAATCTCTTAATAATAACCAATGAAATACAATTTTCTGTTTGTCTTTGTGCAACATCTTGAAATGGTTCATGTTTGTGCTTGTCTTGCAAGCCACTAACAATTGTTGGCAGCCTTTATAAAAACAATAAACTTGATTTTGCATCATGTTTTAAAGTGAGATATGATGAACAAAGCTAAAACTTTGTTCATCATATCTCACTTTAAAACATGATTATGTGAGATAATGTTTAATGATATTTGTTTGTTATAGTTGGAATTATGATTATTGTAAACTGATTTTCTCTATTCATTATAATAAAAAGTCATGTTATTTTTGTATTTGTATTCTTTTGTCCTGTGTAATTGTTACATTTTTAATCAAAAACTTATATGGTCATGCTATGTATTTGTAGCCGAAGATGATGACATTTTCCAGTGTGGCCGATGTAAGAAGCAGTTTACATCATTACCTGCCTTTGTCAGCCATAAACAAAGTCGATGTGCCCCACCTCAAATCCTGGCTCAAAATCAGCTACGCTCTGTTCCTACATCTAATACTAGCAATAATGTAGTTGCAGCTACAGTTGTTACACAGACACCAGTCCTTACCCAAAATGTCAGCTATACCAATGCTACACAACCACTCCAGAGACAAGTAAGCACATTTTTGTTGTTTTTTTTTTTATTCTTTAAGAAAATTTAAATGATTGAACTCATATATTATTTAAACCATTCATTTTTGTGTTTACAAATGACATCTATGATGAATTAACAGCTAGAGCACTTTAAAAAAATTATTTTTCACTATAAAATTGATGTGGGTACTTTATTTCACGCCCTTTGTTATATTTCTTTCTACTCACCAGGGTCTCAAGTCCAGCTATAACCAACATATGATACAAACACTATGCACATTGTCACTTTAATACTAACCTCTAAATGACATTAATAATCGAGCATAAATTTCTTAACTGTTATATTCTTTTTGGCATATTTCTTTACAGCCTAGAAACAACAGTTATACAAATGGCCAACAGACAGCTTGTACTCAATATGACCTTCAGGTTAGTATTCATTCCTTGTTTTTTATCATATTAATAAGATTATTATATAAGATTAACGCATAATTTTCATTATTCCAATCATGTAATATCTTTAACTTTTCCATCACATAAAAATTATTTTGGCTATTCTTGGGCAGATAGGAGAAAATCTACACCCTGTATTATCTACTAAAAAACAAAAGTGAACATTTTAAAATATTAACACATTGTAATCAAAATACTTGAAAGGTCTTTTATTATATTTTTAAACTTTTTCTGTATCACAACTACTTTAAGAAGATGACGAAGAAGCAACCCTCTATCCCTAAAATTTCTAAATTCATGTTTTTTCTATATATGACTAATATGGGATATACTAGAATTACTTTTGAAAGAGAAAGTTAATACTTTGTAAGTTTCCCTGCAAAAGTTAAATTTTAAAAGATTCTTTTTTTGTTTAGAATGTACAAGGAAAATTTGTATAAATTATTTTATATGCTGAATATTTAAAATTATGTGTGTATCTCATAAGTTAGAGAAGAGAGATGTTTCTTGTTTTATTATGCATATAACTAATATTCTGTCTGTAATACTTGTTTTAATTCTTGACCATTAGCAATCTCTTTTTTTCCTTATTTTCAAAATTCAGATTGCGTGTTTTTAAACTAATTTTAGGAAAAAAACTACAAAAGTTGACGTTTAATCATCAATTTTTATCCTACCATCAGAAATATTTTCATTATACACATTTTTATTATTTGCAATTAGTTTCTTCATTTTTCTCTTTCTTTTTCATCCCAAATTAGGTATTTGACTTCTTGACTTTCAGTGCTATCTCCTGCATTATTGATATAGTTTTAGCTTTGTTTCCATTCAAGTTCATAGCAAACACCAACCTCTTAATAGAATGATCATTTTGAAACTCAAGCTGATACCCAACAACCACATTCTTGATTTAAATTTTTTAAATGCCCTTTTCCTACATTTGTTTAATTTTTTTTCTTATCTCTAGCCCATCCTGACTTACAGTGCAGTTCCTCAATCTCCACTGAACCAACTGACCCAAAACATTCTTTCTGAAGATTTTATGTCTCTCAATGCAATGGACCAAAATTTACAGCATGTTCAAACTATGGTAGGTTAATGTTGATGGCATTATTATTATCTAATATATAAAGGTATTTTTCTAATCTGTATTTTTAAAAAGAAATTAATTTAATCTTGCTAAGAAAAACTATTTTTAAATTTTGACTCAGAAACATAAACAAATTTTGTCTTTATCAGATACTTGTAGGTTGCCAAATCAATGTTGAAAATTGCTTCTCTAAAATTCCACTCCACAAAAAAATATAATGAACACTAACTGGAAACAAGAATTATTCATAACATTGTTAAGATTTTCTTTTTCTAGATTGAACGTAACAGGTATTTCATTTGATTCCAGGTGAGGAAAGATTTTGCACATCACTATAAAATAATAGAAATTAATGAACCAATCTCAACACTTTAGCTTTTTTTCTCTTCTCTCCTATTCCATTTATATTGACTCTGATAAAAATAATTTTAATAAAGGGAAATAAATATGTAAAAATCAAAAATCCACAGATCTAGGTGCAAAATCTGTAATAATATATGCAAACAGAAAAACATTGTTTCTATCCAAAAAATATAAGTTTATATGCAGAACAATTATGCATTCTAAGCTGCTGCAGTGAGGATGCAATTTTATTTTCTCACACTAATACACCTAATTAAGCAATCGGCTTTAACATTGAAATGCATAAGCATGTATAAATTATTTTCCCTTATAAAACGTACAGCTCAATTATGATCACTTAACAAATTTACAAGGGCTTATGGCCATATCACATTGAAACACAGGTTCCCATATAATCACCAAAATTAAGCAACATCAAGCCTGATCAGTACCTAGATGGGTGATCACTTAGGAATACCAGCTGCTTGGAGGTGCAGGTGGTGTAATGGATAATGGCTCAGAATTTTAATTGTAGAGCTGAGTTCCAGTTTCATTCAGGCTCATTATATTCACTTGTGTGAAAATACCCTTGGGAAAGGTGTGAATCCACCTCTTCTTTCCCCAGCCATGGGTTAATTAGTAAGACTTGTATCACTAAATCATTATTATCTCAAAAAATATTCTTACAATCTAAAAATATTTTCTGACTAAATAACCTGCAAAGTGTTGATAAACCATAGAAAATAAATCAATCAACAAATTTATAATAACTAAAAATGCAAATTGTAATTGAGGGAAGGCTTATTAAAACTTCTGATTAAATCTGTGGATTGTTTTATTTATTTAGGAAAAAGTAAAAAATATACTTTGAGGTAGCCAATAAGGAACATTCTATTAAAGGAACAAGAAGACAAAAAACTATGCAAAAAGATCACAAACTATATAACAATCCTTAACTGATGCTTCTCTCAACCCAACTAATCAATATTGTTCCTCTGATTACTATTAATACATACAACTTATCATTTCTTAACAACTAATAATCTCACATTGGCATAATTAAACAATGTAACACACAACAAAATTATTTCTAATGCACAAAACCACAAAGAAGTTTAAACTCATTAGTTGTCATTGAACTTTACATTAAAACAATAATTTTTTATTAATTTACTCTAGATTGACCAATAAAATGGGGTTCTTTATACCATTGCATCTTGCTTAACAAAGCAAAAATATAACTTACTATACTCCTTAGACAACTAAAGAACAGATTTCTACACCATAAATATCATTATAACAGAAAATTGCTGCTTCTTTTAATTCATAGCAAAAAGATATTAAGTGCTAATGCTCACTTTACTTTGCATTATAAATCAATATAAATTTATGATTGGTATTGCAGTAGTTATGAATCATTATAAATTTATTTTGTTAAACTTTCTTCAATTTTCTTTAATAAATAATATATAATTGCAAAGTTGCATATTGTGGTCAGTACTCAAGTAGTCAAACAAACTTAATATGGATAACTTGTTTTTGTCTAGGGGTGAATATTTATAGTCTCTAGTCTTCACATATTTAAATCAGACTACCTCTACAGAAAGTATATGTTTATACATTGTAGTAAATTACCTTCATTCCCTTTGTATTCCATTGGTGAGATGTAAATTCCACTCAAACAGCTTCATCCTGTGAACCACTGATTTGTGGAACCAACTCCCAAGAGGATGCTTCTCTGATCACTACAATCTTAACCTGTTCAAGTCTAGGGTTAACCATTATCTTTCCCACATATCTGCATAAACTGTGCCTCTTATTCCTGTAAACCTTCTCAAGTGGCTCTTGGGCCTTGTACAGAGTGAACATCATTGTAGAAAATAAATACTGACTCGTTCTCACAAGTATTAGTGAAATCATAAGCTAATTAATAAAGCACTACAATGTCATTGTAATATATAAAGGAACTTCTTTATAATTAAAGTTATATTTTTAATAGACAAGATTTTCATGGTAGGCAAGTACTTAATATAAGAGATATAAGATTGATTATGAGTTTCACTTTTCCAATTGTTTTCAGCTATTTTATATTTCTTAGAAAAATTTATATCCTTTATTAACTTATTTCTCTCTAGCATACAAGTTACTAACAAAAGCATCAAAAATTATTTTCTTTATTCCTAATCTATAATATTTTTCTGTATAAACATTTCATTTTTGTTGCTTACTTGATAGTCAGTACTCAATACTGTTCATGCATTATTTTTCTGTTTTCACAAATAGAATTCGGCTGTCCAGCAAAGCCCATTTCTCTCTCAGGTTGTGTCCACTGTCCCTAACTCAGTGCGCAACACACAGAATGTAACTACAATTTTTGGCAATGTAACTTCTACTGGTGCCAACAACTTAGCTTTCACCAACAACCAAGTGGTCAACCAACAAATCCAATCACAAGCACTCCAGCCAATAGCTCCCCAACAACAACAACAACAACAACAACATCTGACAACTGCAACTTTGACAACACAAACCAATGACAAGATTTACCAACAACAAAATGCCAACACTGTTACAATGGCCACTGGTGTCCTTAATAATAAGGCTACAACACAGAGACCAGGTAATAGCACTTCAAACATAGCAGAAATATTATGAGAAAACATAAAACTAATCATATCAAAACAATATTGAATAATATCACTAAAAGCTTGGACTGATTGGAAGTTATAAAAATATGCTAGCTTGTGTCTACAGAATTTTTTTCTTATTTTCCTTCATGAATTTCTTTCATGAAATTTAGGTTACTGATCAAATAATGTATGTTATCAAATATTGCTGTACTTATTATGCTAAAAGCTGTAAAACTAAAAAAAAGTTCTTTATGAAATTATATAAACTTTTTGCAAAATGGTGATAGAAATTGATTAATTTTAAGTAAAGTTGAAATTCAAGCTGATGCACTTTCAATTATACTTAAAATTTAAATGTATAAACATTTCTTTTAGTTTCTATTTCTATTAATTTTATTTATCTGATTCATGTTTAATTTTTCTTTTGGACATATATTTTATGTAATTAATATTATATAATTAATAGTCAATGAATTAATAAAGGTTCAAATGTAATTATTATTAGTATTATATTAGTATATATTAGTATTATATGCATTTATATAAATGTCTTTCCTTATTTTTCTTAATTTCTTTTCTGTTCCAGCCCACAAGGTTGTTCAGCAGAATAACATCATTACCATCCTGCCCTCTGCACACCAGGAATTAGAAATTCAACAGAAATTAAAGCCTCATCGTACAGAGGACACTGTATTGGATGATGGCTGTGGAATTGTCCCAAGTGGTGCATCTAGCAAGAAAAAACTGCGCTGTGAATTATGTGATAAATATTTTGCCAAAAATTTTGACCTGCAGCAACATATTCGATCCCACACTGGGGAGAAGCCATTCCAATGCATTGTCTGTGGACGTGCTTTTGCCCAAAAGTCTAATGTAAAGAAGCACATGTCAACCCACAAGGTAAGTCAAGTTTAGATCAATACTTGACTCATAGATAAATGTAGAGAAAGCTTAAAATAAGGATCAGGTAGATATAGAAGAGTAAATGAATGAGTTGCACTTGGCCAAGGATATATGAGTGATAGCATTTGTATACCAATGTAATAGGGCCCTTACTTATTATTTAAAAAGTAGAAAATTTTTTAAAAAATGAGCACTTCTTTAAAAAAAAATTGAGAAAAGCAGCTATACAATGTAAACAAAAAAAAAAGAGAAAATAAAATTCATCAACTTTTATTGAAATTGTATATACAAGATGTTACTGAAAAGTTATTCATCCAACCCATTCTTCCAAATTTGATCAAACAGTAATATTTTAGGGAGTGAAAGGACTTATTGACTGAGCAAAAAACTTTTCTGCAGCCTTTGTGCATAATTATTATGTAAAAAGAAAGTTCACATTAGCATGAAAAATGCAATTATTTTCAACTTGACATTTAAAGTTTTCAAAACTTTAACTTTATTATTTATACTATTTGTAGATATATATATATATATATATATATATATATATATATATTACATGTTTTTAACTTTTAGATTTTCATTAAGTTTGCTCTTGAAAAAAAAAGAAACACTCAGTTTATAATCTAAACAATGAAAATTAATAGTAAAAATTCTAATGTCCAATATCTGTACATTTTAAAAATCCATGAAAACTTAAATATCAAATTTAATAAAACTATTTTGCTTGTTTTAACAACTACATTTATTAAGAGATACCTCTGTAACAGAAATTTCTAAAAACATAATTTACTTTAGTGTGACTTCCTCTTAATTTTATAACATTGCTTCTACATTTTGTAAGGGTTTCATTTGTGAGAAGTCACCATAAAAATAGCACAGATATCTTACATTAGAAATTTAAAAACTTCATTTTTTTTAATCTTTACTCCCTTTTTCATTTTTTTAAAATTTTCACTTCCTTTTCATTTTTTAAAAATTTTCATTTTTCAGTCTTCTAATAATATCTAGACTAGATATCTGGACAGATGAACAACTTTTCTATGTTGTTATCACATTTCAGCCAATCCATTCTACAGCCTTTCTTAATAAGATTTAAAGGACATAAGTAGAACCTTTCAATAAAACAACTGTTTTTGTTTTCTGAATTGGGAAATAGAAAGGTAATAAGGTTTTCAGTAGCAAAACCACTCTTTACAACATACTTAATAGAATTGGTCTCTTGTGATAAATGAATTTGACAAAAGATTGCAAATGTGGAAGAGAATATAAAGAAAACATCAGTTAGTCCCTTGAGAAACATAAGAAAGCATTATCCATAAAAAAGATGAAAATGTCTAAATATGGTCGACAAGAGCTGACATACATTCTGTCTCTGTAATAAGATACAGGCAGCAGTTGATAGGGAACATTACTAGGTGTAACTGACCACTAGTCTCAATGAAAAACATCTGCACTTCATACTGATGTTATCCTTTTATCTAGGAAATACACCATGAAAACTAGAAATAAATAACAAATATGTTTCTTAAAAGTGGAAATGAACAAACAAAATACATTTTAAAGAAAGATACAAACAAGGAAAACACTTTTCAAAAAGAAACAGTAAATTTGGAACAAAATCCAGGAAATGATAAAGGGACACATGCTGATTAGAGGAGAATTTCAGATTTACTAGTAGGAATCAGATATTTACCATGTTGCCTATTAGACCAGCATTAACTAAAGAACAAATGGTAGTTTTGTTACGACTAAGAAGTCACATGGTAGAAGGCCCACAGAAGGATTATACCCAAAGAACCAGACCATATGTAGAAGCAATATTCAAGGCATGGACGAATGGTAGACTTATGAATATATGTATAAAAAAAGAAATATTTTTACAAAATTATTTTTATAGATATTTTTTCAAAGAATTACTCAAATTTGTAAAATTGAGATCTTTTGTATGAGAAACCCTACTTTTTATGAGTTTATCACAAAATGTTCACATATAAGCATGGTACTTTATCAGTTGGATTAATAAAGATCAAAACATTGGCTGAAACATATATGAAGATACTGGTCAGGATAATTGTTGGAATAATTTTATAATTAAAATTTTTGTTTTATTCTTAAGTAGCTATACTCAAATAAAATTTTATTAAATACCAACCATGTTGGATAGTTTATTTTTGTAACATAAATAATAAACAATAAAACTTAAATTTTCAATTTTTAAAGGAAGAATGCTATAAATAGTGTTAGAAGTAGTTAGTGATGATATATATATATATATATATATATATATATATATATATATATATATATATATACTTATCTAAATTTAACCAAATGACTAACCATTAGAATTTCTCTTGGAAGTGTTTCACAACCAAGCCGAGAACTTTTCAGCACTTCCTCATCCTATTACTGTGGCTATATGAGTATATAGTCAAGATATTTTATCTATAAATTGCATTAATGAAACTAAAATAAGCCAAAATCTTTTACAAGGGAAATTTTTTTTTTAAACCATGGAATTTTCACAAATCAAATATATCTAACTGGTCAATTTATAAAAAAAAAAGAATTAAGCCGTTAATCTTAACAGTAATGCTGAAAAATAATCAATTTTTGGCCGAGCTTTCACATTTACTATTTTTTAAAAAATGTATTTTAAACAAAATCCAATGACAATTATAGTTTTCTAAAAAATATACCCAATGACATTTATAAGTTTCTAAAAAAAATCCAATGACAATTATCAGTTTCTTAAAAATATCCAATGATAATTATAGATTTCTAAAAGAAAAAAAATCAATGACAATTACCAGTTTAAAAAAAAAATCAGTTTTTAGTTATAGATTTCTAAAAATTCAGTATTATAGTTTTCTACCTAAAACCCACTAATACTCACCATCTGAAAAATGGAATGATGCGAATTAATGAGATTATAAATGAAATGTTTATTGAATTATGCCAATTCTGTATTCCTTGTATTTTCATAAAATGTTCTCCATAATTTGTAAATCTAAATTGTTCAGTTTATATTTATTAATATTTAATACAGAGAAAATTGAAAAATCTGTTTATTATCTACTTTATTCCAAATAGATATGAATCCTGAGAATTGAATTGATCTTTTCTACTTTATTTCAACATTAAGAATTGTTTACTAGTGAGATCAAGTGTCTACAAAACCTACTGTGTTTGTAATGAATATCAAGAATGTGTGATCTCAATTAAACTAATCATAATCTTTATGTACACCCTGTGAAAAATAATAAGAATTTCTGTGATATTCATAAAATGAGCCATCTTTTTTGTCTGTGTATTATTATTTATAGGCTTAATTTCATTTTATTTTGTAGGTGTGGCCCAGTGGTATGGGCTCAACATTACCACGGCAACCATCACCCCATGTGTCAGGAGATGAAGGAGATGGTGAGACAGGTGATTCATCTCTACAAGTTCCAGATCAGCCACCTCCCCCTCCACAGCCACCTCCATTAACTGATGTTGATGCAGTAAGAATATTTATCTTAGTTTTTTCTGCCATTTAATTTTTTGATTATTATAAAAATAAAAACCAATAGAAAAAACTGTATTTCAGTGACACAAGCCTTTTCTTGAAAAATTCCAAAATGGAAACCTCTTGTTTTGATATTAGGACCATTATTGTCTGTTTTTTTAACAGGTATTGATATACCAGTCATTGATTTTTTTTTTTTTTATCAGCAGACTCCAATTTCAAATATTTAAGGATTTTTATATTTTTAATCATATTATAATTTACTTGATATCATATCATACTGATGCCATTTTATATTAGTAATTGGTAACAAAAAGAGTAGTAAACTCTTTTGTTGGAATATCTTGATTGCTAAATATAAACAGAATTTTTTAATATAACAATCTTATTGAAAAAGATAAATATTGAAAAATAGGTTAAGAAATAGAAAGATTGAAAGAAACTGAATTATATATGTAAAATAATTAGAACATTGACATGGTTTCTACCTTTTTCAATTTCTTGCTGGGTGATCTTATTCCATTCTTCCTGAAGGGCATTCCATAATTGCTCAGTTGTTTTAGGATTTCTGGCTTTTGAACATTCTCCTAGAATATTCGACACATTTTCAATAGGATTGAGATCTGGGCTTTGAGCAGGCCAATCCATAACAATAAACTTTTCAGCCTTGAGGAAGTTCATAACACCTTAGCCTTGTGACATGGGGTATTGTCCTGCATGAATATGGGTGGTTTCTTAGTTGAATTTCTCAGCACAGGCAAGACAAGATCTTTTACAAGTTGTTTATAAACTCCTGCATTTACCTTTCCATGTAATCGCACCAAAAGGCCCACACCATCTCCAGATATCATCCCCCAAACCATGACACTTCCTCCATTGAATTTAACACTAGTCTTAAGGCATTTAGGCAACAATTTTTCAACTACTTTTCGACGAACATACCTTTTCCCATCTGAGCCAAATAAATGAAATGCACCGTTTGCCATTTTTCTTGAAACCACAACACATGTTCGGTTGCAAAGGTAAGATGACACTTTTTATTCTTGGAGCTGATCAGTAGCTTCACTGCAGGTGCTCTTGCTTGTAGGTCATGTTCAACTAAATGATGAGACACAGTTTTTCGAGATAAAGTTTTCTTCAGTACAATGCTCATTTCCCGAGAAACAGCAGCAGCAGTTTTAAATCTGTCCTTTTTAACCAACTTTATTATAGCACGATCTTCTCTCTTGGTCGTTTTTCTTGGCCTACCTGTAGACTTTCTTGCTTCACACGAACCACAATCATTGTAGACCTTAAGAATACCGTGAACAACACTTTTTGACTTGTTAACAATCTTTGCAATAGACCCAATACTTAAATTATCCTTCTTTCAAAGCTTAATAATCTGCTGACAAATTGGTAACGGAGTAAGTGGCATTATATTAACAAAGTACACTGCAGATATTCTTACTAATGTTTAGTAAATGAACAGTCATGTAAACAAATTAAAAAAATTAGAGTTCTCCGGTTAAATATACTAAAATACGGAGTAAAATCAACCGTTCTGATCATTTTGGCCACCATGGGTTTTGCAGTAAATCACTAACTCATCCATAACTTTTGTATTATCCTCTCAAATTACACCAAAATCTCAGACAACAACAAATAATATCGTATTTATTGTCTGTGAAAATTATAGAATATAAAACAACTTTGATAAAAAATTATACCTACTTTTCTGACGAAAACAATGCCGTTCTGAACATTTTGGCTGCAACTGTATATGCATCTGTACCAGCAGAAGAGAAAGAAAAAATAGTAAGAGGGAAAGAGAAGAAAAAATTTTATACAAATAATCCTACCCAGGATCATAACACGCCAGTAGTAATTTTTTTTTCATGTTTACAAGCCATCATAATTTCCAATCTTTTGTTCAGTGGTTTGTGCCACTCTGGGTACATCATAATTACCAATTTTTCCTCTTGGCATAGTTTGCACATCTTATTCTCAATATATACTTGATGATCTATTATATTATGGGAGATGACACCGTAACCATCAAATGCCATACATTGGGTCCAACATAACCTGAGGACTTTCTGTAGTGAATTGAATTTGATAAATGAAAGTGTTTCCTCATACATATAAAACCCAATAATAGGTTGCTCTATGTGAATAGTAAGTCCAATCACCCGAGGACAGTGATCAAACACATACCCAGAGGAATCATATGTAGGCTCTCTAAGAATTTCTCAAATATAACAATTCTTGATGAAACCAAAAACTGTTATGAAAGGGCTTTGCACGAAGAAGAGCATAAAGCTAAGCTGGTCTTTAAACTGGTAGTGGCATCAGGAATGAGTAACCAAAAGAAATTTAATTACCTTCTAGTTTTTTGGGTTTTTTTTTCTAATAAAAAAAAACAAATATCCTTTTCTTTCATTTTCCCTTGTCTGGTCATCAATATATCTTCAGTCTATCAGAAATTAGTGACATATTTTTATACTTCAATGCAAGGGAGGTAACTTATGTGATTTTTTTTTTTAAAGATCTTTTAAAAAATCTTTTTAAAAAATTTAACTTGTAATTTTTTTTAAAGATTTTTTTAAAAAATCACATAAGTTACCTCCCTTGCATATTATTTTGAATTTACGGTTTTAACGCATAACACATTCATAGAGATTCAACACCTGAAGATGGTTTCAGATGAAATTGAAAGTAGTTGTGGAAAAAAAAATTATTTAAAAGAAAATTTGGGAATTTTTCTTAATCAATTTTCTACAGCCATCAAGAAATTAATTCATGGACTTGAAAAGATTAAAATAAAACTAAAATAGACATTAATACATCTAAATTATTTTACTAAACACAAGCTTTGGAATAAATTTTTGTTTTTTTTAGATACATGTATCTATTACTGCAATATACTTTAACTTTTGAGCCTACTGAAGAGATTTTATGACTTTTAAGAATGTGCATGCTTTAACAAATCAATGTATATAGTATGTGTCTTTAGTGAGGATGTAATGTCAAAAGATAGATTTCTACTGACCCATTTTAAATTCTTTGTCTTTATAGCTGAATGATGAAGACCAGAAACTCAATGTTGTTGTTGACAATTCTTATTTGTGTCAGTATTGTCCTGAAAAATTTAAATCTTATTTCCAACTCAAGTCACACATGGTTCACCATAAAAATGAACAGGTAATTATTTTATCATTTTTCCTGTAATTTGCTCTCTACTCTTAGTCTGTAAATTATCATTTCTCAAAAGTGCAATGGAAAAATTACTTACAGAACAGAAGGTTACAAAGAAAGAATAATTAACTCTAAAGCACAACTTAGACAAAACATGAATCAAACATTTGAAATCTCTTATTTTATTCTATCTAAAACAATACTGGAAAACGATTTTTTTTGTATGTTTGTTCATTTTTAAATTACTTGGTCACTCATCAATGCAATACGACCATTCAGTTTAGGCTTTGATTCTTAAAATATACCAATTCAGAGCAAGTATTCACAAATTTCAGTTATCAATTACCTTGAATATTTTATATATTATAAAAAAAAGCATGTTTTCTTAAAACAAGTTGATAATTTAATAACAACATCCTGATATAGATCTTGAAATATGAGGTTACATCAATAAGTCTGCAGCCTGACACATACTTATGAACTGAATTTTGATATGGAATTTTCAGTGTATAATGTTTGCTCTATGTGACTAATATTCACCACTATGTTATGTTGAAAAATAGATATTTGTTGTTTAAACTAAATGCTCTTTTTTCATTAGGCAATGAATTTATTGATGCACCTACATTTTGTAATTGCAGCAATTTCAAATCTTGTTTAAAAATGCAAACAGTGTAACCTGGACATGTTGAGAGGTCAGAATGTAAAGTTGTAATTTGAAGTGAATAAATAACAAGAATTTTAAATGATGAAAATCTATTTATTTTTTTATTTATACAATTTCAGATGTTTTCTGTAAGTCTTTGAGATTCAGTAAATAATAACTAAACAAAATTTTTATTTAAACAATGTAATATTCTTTTTTGTATAAAAGCTGTTTGTTAGCATTCCAAATATGAAATTTTATAACAGCATGTAGCTTTCATTTCAGGGTTCTGTGGAACAAATTCTTTCTGTAAAGCAGGACGTTTTAAAAATGTGGTCTACCTATACACAAGTTTGGTTAAATGCCCAACAGAAAAATGCAAGAAATTTAACAATGTTACCAATAGTACAAAGGTGCTGTATCTCACAAACTGTAAAAAAAAAAAAAAAAAACTACTATGAATATGAGAAGCATTAAACATAAAAAAACAGACAGCCCAATATCAATAAAATGAATTAGAAACAATGATTTAGATCAAACATATTAGATACATTTCAATAAAAGAAAAAAAAACAGATAACATGTTCACACTCAACATGCAAAGGCTCAGAATAAAGACACATATTCAAAATAGCACAAAAATAAAATACAACTTAAGCAGTCAAAACATGAGGAACAACTAGCAATACCAAAAACAAAACCCCTTTGAAAATGGCTAAAGAAGTGGCTGAAAGCACTTGGAACTATGAAAATTGTAGAAAATTTCTATACTTCCTTACTCCTACAAAACATAAGGATGCTGGAAAAACTAAATAAAAATTGAATTAAATCTTCCTTGTTTGCCATATTTAATGAAAAATGTTTAAAAGAAAGGTTGCTGGCCAAATATACATTAATATAGCCACCAAAACTGTGTAACCTCCCCTGGTTGGTGGCTGACGAGGGCAGGGTATTACACCTGTTTTCACATGTTGTATGTAGAAAAATATATATAATGCATGGTGGTGTAATGGATAGTTTCTCAGAATGAGAAATTTGATAGGCAAGTTCAAATTCTGGTTAAATTTGTTACATTCACTTACACACAAATATCCTTGGGGAAAAGTATGAATTCATCCCTTCTCTTCCCCCTCCCCCAGCTATTGGTAAATAGCAGTACAGACTGGGTTCTATAGCCTCAGTTGGCAACCAGTCTAGGAGGACAACTCTCAACTCAGAACCTGAGGTGGGCCATTTGGAGACTTTGGCACACTGTGCACAAGTTCTCTGTAATATGGTTCTTCCAAAAAGTGTGGTTGGTTCTGTACAAACTATAATCAAATCATATGTACAAGTAGTGTGGCTATTCAGTTCTAAGAACTGAGCTGCTGAACCCTCATATGTTAACAGGAGAGTTCATTGTATGTATGTATGTATATATATATATATATATATATATATATATATATATATATATATATATATATAGCAGGTAACTGCTATAAATTGAAGAAATCTTTATTCATTTCACTTGATGAAGAGTTCTGAAAAAAATACTAATCAGGATATCACATTAGAAAAAGTGTAAAGTCGCATTACTCCTTGTTTCACAATCAAAGAACAATAACTTATATGGTAAGCTCATGAATTAAATACAATATTTTGAGATTTTCCCATAAACATTTCATTTCTTTATTTTTTAGGTCTACAAATGTGTGGTTAAATCTTGTGGGCAAACCTTCAAAGAGTTGGAAGCATTCTTGGCACATACAAAGAGCCATGAAGAAGATATGACATACCGATGCCATGTTTGCTCAAAGCATTTTACTACCCTTTACGAGTTGGGTATGCACCAATTCAATCACAGTGCCTGTGAAGATAACACTCTCAACCGAATTGGGCCCAGGTAGGAAATAGTTCTAAAGTTCTGAAAACTGCATTTCTTTTCTTTTCTTTTTTTTTTATTCATTTCACTGCAAGCAAGACAATAAAGCCAGTAAGATGCAAGAGATTACTGAACGTAAAAGAATATGAGTAAAAGAAAAACATTATTAAGGAGAGAGAACAAAAAAAAATAATTGCATTTAAATTTTTAAAGATCAAAGTTGACTGGAAAGCAAAAGGCCTGAAGAGAGTTCCACAGGTGAGAAGTGCAAAAGAAGAAACTGTTAGCATAGAATTTATGGTTATATCTAGCAATTTTGACTAAAATGATGATACCAAGCTGCCAATCTAGTACTGTGCTTAAAATTGTAATGTCGAGCTACCAAAGAGGAAAGTTAATCAGAATAATTACTATGGAAATATTTATTATATAAAAGACACAGGGAGGTTGTTACAGAGGTGGGAAAGTGACTGAAGCTGTGATGTCAGGTCAGGACCGATAACATTGCAGATTCTTCTTTGTATTGTAGCACCAGACCAGATGTGGCAGCAATATTCGATGCATAGACAAATAGTAGACTTGTAAATGTGCAAGAGATTCTGGTGAGAAAAATTGTTTTGTTCAACACAGTGAACCAGCTTTCCTAGCAGCAGATCTAGCAATTGATTCAATATAATCTTTCTAAGTTCAATCCTTGGTGCTGATTAAACCAGTTTATTTAACAATAACCCATCAGAGAAAAAGGAAACTTTTTTTTTCTTTTTTTTTAAAGCAGGGAATTATTTTTTTTCCTTTAGTGATCAGCTTTATCTTTAGAAACTTTCTATTCCTTAAGTTTTTATAATAGAAACTCTTTTTGCAATTATGCATCTTTTGCATCTGCTTCAAAATCCCAACATTGTACTGAGCTTTCTTTATCCATATACTAACTTTATTCTCTTGATATTGTGGACAGCTGAACCTAGTCTTAGGAGGGTAAATTTGTGCTTACATTTTTAGAAGGCTGGAAACAAGCAATTGATAAAAATTTGCAGTATTTTTTTTTAAAGTCCTCCCTGTCAGTTGAGTGCCAGTGCAACTTTGTTGAGTGTTGGCCTCCATTGACTTGAATGATTTCATTGGTAGCCATCCAATTCAAACATGGTTGGATCCAATCACAAGATGCCATTACCAGACCTTATATGCCTTACACCACAAAAGAATGACACTACAAAATGATATCTAAAAACTTAGATTATTGAATTGAAAATGCTACAGTCCAATTCTTAGTATGGAATTGGTGTGGCACAACCCACACAATAAAGTTAATTTTTGACTTAATGCATTTTTTTTATAATTTTTTTTTATAAATTAGTTTATAATACTGTCTAGTATATATTTATTAAAATTTATTATTAGTTTTAGTCCATTAAAAATTTAAAACAATTAAAAAGTTATAACTCTATAAATGGCTGTTAAGCTTCTTGACTATACTTTAATTATATTTGTTTATAAGTAAATTGCTAAACTACTTTCCAGTATGTTTTTTTTTCTATTTAATGAAGTTTGCTCAAAATAAAATGGTGAATTTCCTTATATACAAAGTAGAAATAAAACAACAATATATTATTATTGGCCTATTGTATTTCAAAGCAGTTTTTCTAGTTGACTTGTCACATTGTCTTTAATATTTTTTGTTATAATCCCAAAGATTTGATTGAAAAAAGAATACGTCATTTTATACAAATACAAATATAAAGTTTGTCACTTAGCTGATTGGTGTTAACCTTTAGCATCCTGACGCCAGAGTTTCATAGACAAACCCTCTAGCAATCACTCCATCCACTCGACAGAGGATATCAGCAGTTGACTGCCTATATTTCTCATTTTTTTATATATGCACTTTTCATTGGTACAAGGTTGATTTTGTCTTGTTTTTTTATGCTCTCACGATCTTCAGGTGATTAGAACGCCTAGGGTGTTCTAGTTGTCTGAAGATTGTGATAGCATAAAACTTGAATAATAGCTTGAGCTGTCTCCAATGTTGTTGCTCTGTCTCCAATGTTGAGCTGTCTCCAATATTGTTGCCCTTTGGTCTTTCTTTCTTTTTTCTTTCCTTGCTTGTGATTTTTCCTTGTGTAAGGTGTTAGGTCATCTGGCAAGTTGTTTGTTAGTCAAACCAACTTTGTTGGTTATTCTTTACTCTCTCTCTCTCTCTCTCTCTCTCTCTATATATATATATATATATATATATATATATGAGGTGATTGAAAAGAAAGTAACTCCCTAAAACAGGAGAGTCAATCATACATAAAATAGGAAGTTTCTTTTCAATCACCTGTATATATGGTGGATGCATGGTGATGTAATGAATAGTTGGTCAGAATATGAAAGAGCAGAGATTGAATTGTTACATTCACTTACATTCAAATACCCTTGGGAAAGGTATGAATTTATCTTTTGCCTCCAGCTATGCCTAAATAGCAGGACAGACTGAGTTCTGTAGCCTTGGTTGGCAACCACTCTAGAAGGAAAACTCTCAATTCAAACCAGCCTGGAGAGGGTTGGGCTCTGTCAGGTGTTCTTACTTGCTGCAGTGCCCCCAATAACACTAATAGGATACAGGACCTGTGCTAAAAGTTAATTATGATCTCTCTCATGTCTCTTCATGGGCGATTGTGGCTCCCCTCAACTTCCTTTCTTTTGTTGCTCTCAACAATACTTTCTCCTTTATGTTTATGGTATTTGTTATTTTATCCATTTGCATAAACTTGTCAACTAAGTTACTTGCTGCTTTTCTCTGCTTCTCTTGCCTTTGATGTATCTTCAGGACTGATTTTCTTATTGTACTCCAAAGATTTCAGCTACCTCTTTCTGGTTATCATCAATTTCTTTGTAGCTTCTATTTTCTTTGGGACTTCTTCATTTGTCATATGCACTACCTATTGTATTTTCAACATTAATCTGTAGAACCATATATTGGTTGTATTAAGTGTTTATTTTCTTTTTTTTATTTGTGAGAAAATTGTCCAAATTTTATTGCCATATAGAAGTATAAACATCAGATAGTAATCTAGCATGCTTTTCTTCATTACTAATATCATTTTTTGATCCTTTCATACTTGGCTCAGTTTCTGAGATGTATATTTTCCAATTCCCAATGCCTCTTTGAATTTTTATGTCACATTTTCCATTGGTTGTTATTATGCTACTCTGATAGCTGACATTCTGTACTTGTCAAATTTTGACATCCCCAGTGTGTAGCTCACATCTTGGGTTGTCTCTTGCTCACCACCATGCTTTCCATCTTCTAACAACTAATAGTCAATCTTTTCTTTTTACTTTTATCAACTACTTTATCTTATAGATTTCCTTACCTATATCCATCAATAATAAATCCTGGTAGATCTTCTAATTTTCTAAAAATCAACTTGATGTACAGGTTAAGTAAATCTTGTGAGAAAATAGATCCTTGTCACACTCCTCTTTCTATATTGGAAAACTTAGTTTGATTCTTTTTTTTTTTTGCATACAATACTCTATTGAACTTTTTGTATAATATATGAAACACAGCTATAGGCTTTTCTGTATTTCTATTTTCCCTTCTGAGAGTAAACTGGTCATGATTATAGTATTTTTTGTTCTAGCTTATTGTATAAAACCACATTGTTTTTCACCTATTTCTGATTTAATTATTATGTATTTTAAATCCTACATGTGATATACTTTGCTGTTTTTAGAGAGCATGTACTATTAAAAATTTAAGATGGCATCTTAAAGCAGTGTCAGAAAGGACAGATAGCAATAATATATTTAAAACCATAATTAAAAAAAAATAGCCAAAGAAAAAATGAAAATAAATGTGCCTTTAAAATGACCTGCAAATTTTTTTGAGAATTTTTTCTTTGAAGTCACTGACATCTGTTCATTGTTCATTTTCTTATTTTATGCAGACACTTTCAGTGTACAAAATGCTTAAATAAATATTCCACTCCAGAAGCTCTGGAACATCACTTGTCAACTTCAACACATGACTTCCCATGTCCACACTGTAAAAAGATATTTCCTTGTGAACGATATTTGCGGAGACACCTACCAACGCATGGGAGTATAGGTAAGTTACTCTATTTGTCTCTTTTGTATATATATGGGCTTTCATTTCCACCATAATATAATCTTGTCTTCTTTAACAATAAATATAAAAAAGTTTTTTTTGTAGGTTTTCATTGTATAGTAGTTAATAAAGCAAGAAATAATGTTTCTGCTTTTTTTGTTTTTGTTTTTTAAAGGAATGTTTCAATTTTTATCTGATCTGTTAAACTTTAAACTTCGCATTTTTTTTAATAATTTTACTGTTATGTTTTGGTATTACTGGTACGCTTTAACTCATATTACAGTTAACAAAAATAAAAACAGTCAAGAGGAAAGATTAATGTTAATAATGCCAACCGTCACTCTCAAATACAATCTTGATCTTTTTTAGCAAACTTTGAATTTGATTGATACAACATCATTACTTAAACCTGTCAGAAGAGTGTCAAGTTATCAATGACATTAAGATCTTATGGCCATCCAGGAAAATGTAATCTTTTAATACATACACACTCAGACATCTCTTCACATCTGCTGGGGAATACCAGGTGCTGTAAGCTTGGATGTGCAACTGGTGTAACAGATAAAGGCTCAGAATGAGAAATCAGAAAGCCAAGTTCAAATTCCAGTTGAGGTTGTTATATTCATTTATGTGCAAATACTCATGGGAAAGATATGAATTCACCTCTTCTCTTCCCAGCTATGGATTAAATAGTAAGATTTGTATCAGAAAATCATAATTTTCTCCAAAAAATCTTACAATCCAAAATGTGATAGCTTTAAAGAACCTAAAAAAGGTTGATAAGCCGTAAAAAAAAACAAATCAATTGAAACTATCTTTACATCTACATAAATATACATTAGTATTAGTTTTTGACTATTTTTTCTTTAAAATAGTTTCTGTTACTTTGTATAAAAATTCTCAGGTTATTATTCTAAAACTCTTTGGTAGTAAACAGCATACGTTAGAAAACAAAAATATATCTCACTAGCAACTTATTTATTCATTATTTTTAATTCATGTTGCTTACTTAATGGTCATAGAAGAAGGACCGATGAGTTTTGAGCAACAGAAATAATAATCAAGAAAAGACTAATCAGAAGTTAACACTTGTGAGAGGATTCTTTTGTTCTCTATACACCATCCTACTATACCACTAACAGGATGACCAGCTAATGGTGATTCATGCTTTTGCCAAAGGATATAAATGTAATATTGTGAATATACACTTGAGTCTCTTAGTTAGCTTTTGTCCCATGCTATGGTTCAATTCTCATTTGCATCGATGTGAACAAAACTGGGAAAAGCATAGTTTATGTTTGTAGTGATACTAGCAAATTAGTATGCATAATTTGCATAGGCAGAAGTGAACATTCTTATAAGTGGTCACTGAGGATAACCACCAGTAGAAGAGTTTAGCGACTGATTAGTGCTAACCTCTACTTCACAACAATGGCGTCGCCGATAGGATTTCAATTGTCTCTGGAAGATCCAGAATTTGTCGATACTTGGATTCGTTGCTTCTCTGCCACTGCGAGAACAAAAAAGTTGAAAGACAACAAGGAAAAGGGAGGCGAAAATGAAATCACGGATTTATTTTTGGCTACAGCTGGATGCGGAGGCGGTAATGAAAGTCTCCACCATGGCATATCCCTTTAATTTGGAAGATCTGACTTTGAAAAATAAGTCAGATTATAAAAAAATATGAGACCCAAGAAAAGGCTGGTAGTGGCAGAAAGAACGAAATTCATGTCAACGAAACAGGAAATTGACGAACCAATTATAAAATATTTACACTGTCTACGAAATGCAAGTAGATATTGTGAATTTGAGAAACTCGGACAAGACGAACAGACCATTGAAGAGGACTTGATTCAATTAAGACTAATTGAAGGTATGTCCAATGCGTCACACCGATATAAAATATTGGAACAATTACAAATAGGAAATATGTCTTTAAATGCTTGTATTGAATTTATGCAGCAACAAGAGCTAATAGAGACATACAACCATTATAAAAATCAACCCACCGAACAAAGATTCGCGGATACATACGCGTTAAACAAGGTAAAAAAAGTGTTCATATTGTGGACGTGAACACGAAATGAAAAAGGAAAAGTGTCCAGCATTTGGGAAAACTTGTAATAATTGCTTAAAAAAGAACCGCTTTCAAGCAGTGTGTAAATTAAAAAAGAAAGTTGAAAGAGTAGAAGAAAACGACACCGACAGAGAAGTTTTTACTGTGAAAAATAAGACTATTGCACAGAAGAAAAACGACATTATAGTAAAGGTTAAAATTAATAACTGCAATTTAGATATGCAAATGGATACTGGGAGTGAAGTAACTCTGATACCAAAAAATTTTGGGGAACACATTGGTAAGCCACCTTTACGAAAAAGCAATTTACAACTCCACCAGTTTGATGGGTCCGTTATAAAAATATTAGGATACTTTGAAGGTTCATTGAAGTTAATAAAAAATTTGAAGTAATTCCTGTAATTGTTACAAGTTGCAAGAAAAACCATGGCCTTATTGGAAATGACGTGCTTAATATGAATTCTACTAAGATAATTAATGAAATAAAAATGGAAAAAACTGGAAAGTTAAAAAACTATGAAGTAAGTATAAAAGTAAAAGAAAATGTTTCCCCCTCTTATTATGAGGCACGAAAATTACCAGTACATTTATTGCCGTTAGTAGTGACAAAACTATGTAAACTAGTAAAACAAGACCTTCTAGAACATGTTCCGCCTGGAGGTAGCAAGTGGGCATCACCGATTGTGGTTTTGAGGAAAACAGAGGGTGATTTACGTATTTGTGGAGATTATAAAATAGGAGTAAATCACAAGATATGCTCGGATTCATATCCCATACCCAATGTGGAACTTGCATTACATGCACTGGCAGGGATGTCTGTTTTTTTCAAAAATAGATTTAAAAACGGCATACCACCAAATATCAATAGACGAAAACTTCAAAGAAGTAACCACGATAAATATGCCAATAGGGTTACTAAGATGGAAAAGAATGCCATATGGTATAAAAACTGCAAGCGCCATATTTCAAAGGGCCATTGAACAGGTTTTAGGAAAGGTACAAAATATGGTTTGTTACCAAGACGACATATGCAAAGGAGCTACTAATGAAAAGGAATTAAAAGAAAAAACTGATTTAGTCTTGAATAGATTAAGAAATGCTGGAATGACAATAAATGAAAAAAATGCGTAAGCAATTCTAACAAAATATCTTTTTTAGGTTATTCCATTTCAAAAGAAGGTATATCACCAGACCAAGCATTGATAGAAAAAATATTAAAAGTAGCTACACCTTCAAATAAAAAAAGAATTGAGTTTTTTGGGATTGGTAAATTTCTACAGGCGATATTTACCAAAAATACACGGACTTGACGGAACCGTTTGCAAAGTTAAGGAAAAAGAATGTAAAGTTTATCTGGTCAGGCGAACAGCAGAAAACTTTTGAAACATTAAAAGAAATAATGTCAAAGAAACCTGTAGTGAAAATTTTTGATCCAAAAAAGGACATAACACTCACTACAGATGCAAGTGAACATTCAATATCGGGAATATTATCACAAGAAAGACATCCGATAATGTATTTATCTAGAAGGTTAACGAACACTTAATTTAATTACTCGAACATAGAGAAAGAAGCATTGGCTATTGTGTGGACAACTATCAGAGCCCGACAATTTTTAATTGGAAAAAAATTTCTATTAAGAAGTGATCATAGACCATTAGAGTTTATATTTAACCCAAGGAAAGAATTACCCAAAGTCACGACATCAAGGATTCTACAATGGGCGATAAGATTGATGGCATTTGACTTTGATATAGAGTATGTCAAAGGAAATTCAATTCCACATGTGGACGCACTATCATGATTGAGGTTTTACAAGGAGTCAAAAGACAAAACAGAGGAAGAATTTGAAGATTCGTTCCTACACTTGATAGAGACTGATGTTTTGTCTTTAGACAGAATGGCTGTGGAAACAAGACATGATCTGATGCTAAGTAGGATAGTATTGAGAATAAGAAAAAATTTGTGGGGAAATCATTCTAGGGCGGAAAGACCTTATAAAGAAATAAGGCACAAATTAACAATAGAACATGGAGTGATATGCAATGGGGACCTGGTAGTTCCCCCAGAAACACAAAGAAAGCTAATAATAGAAAGTGTACATAATGATATACACTGTGGAGTAGCGGCCACACAAAAAAGGATAAAACTAGAAGCTTGGTGGCCGGGTTATTCAAGAGATGTTGAGGATTATGTAAAGAGATGTAAAAAATGTAAAGAATTAAGAAACTTTACACAAAGAAGTGGAGCCATGGAGTAGGGTCGATATGGATCATGCATATGTAAATGGAGTGGGACTCTTATTAATATTAGTAGACTCTTTTTCACGTTGGCCTGAAATAATAAGAGTTGCAAACAAGAAAAGTTCCACTATAAAGCAAATTCTAAGAGTTGTATTCTCTAGAAATGGTGTACCAAAAACCCTGGTATTGGATAATGCACCAGAATTTTGTGAGGAAGAATTTAACGTATGGTTAGGGAAAATAGGGTGTAAACCATATAAAACTCCTCCATACCACCCTCAATCAAATGGACTAGGAGAAAGGATGGTTCAGACCGTAAAAAAGGGGCTGAAAGCATGCTCTCAGCAAAAAGAAAAAGTAGAAGTTTTTCTACCGAGGATGCTTTTAAGTTATCGGACCATACCACAAGCGGGAAAACTCGAAAGCCCATCAGCTTTAATGGGGAGACAGATTAGAGCTCTGCTAACTATGTCATACTCTACAAGTGAAAAGATGTGGTATAAAAAGAGCAAGGATGCAGATCCGGAAGGAGCTGAGTTTATAATGCAAAAAGGCCATAATACAGCCATAATAAATAGAGAGAATGGCGATAGTGTGTTGGCCCATGCTGACCAAATAAGGACCCAGGGTGAAGAGGAAGAACGAAATGACGAAGAGATGTCAATTTCATCTGATAATGAGTTGGTAGAACAACCATTACAGAAGGAAATGTCAGAGGAAACAATGCAGGAGGAAGAGGGACAGAAGGAGTCTGAAAGTTCAGATGAAGACCAGAGTATGCAAGAAAACACATGTGACTACAGCCTAGACCAGGACAGATCGAGGTCTCCCAGGGAAAAAAATACGGGAGAGAGAGAAATAGAGCAGAGTGAGGAAAATGGCAGAAGAAGGAGTACAAGATCTACGAGAGGGATAAAGCCCTTAAGGTTTAGGGAGATGTAGTGATACTAGCAAATTAGTATGCATAATTTGCATAGGCAGAAGTGAACATTCTTATAAGTGGTCACTGAGAATAACCACCAGCAGAAGAGTCTAGCAACTGATTAGTGCTAACCTCTACTTCACAACAATGTTCAAAAAAGAAACTGACGATGATATATGAGACAGGAAGAAAAGTCTTGAATACTGTCATCTTGGTATGAAAGATAAGTATGTTAGTTCTGATAAACAGAGTTCTTTAGTTAGGTATGGATAAGGTCACCTGGCACTGCCTAGGGGTTGGTAAGTGACACTTGGAGTATCTTTGCTGCTATTTCTGTTTTCTCTCATGGCTAGTCCCTCTCTTTGGCCAGCAAGAATTTTATCTCCCTCTGACTCTACTTCACTTCTTACTCTAACTGTAACTCTGATTGCAACTTCCTTTTATCTAGCATGCTTTGAAACTCTCACGTCTTAATTTTACTATTGATTGTCATAGAATTGCCAGTCGCTCCAGGCCCTGATAAAATCATTTACAGTCCACTCTACTATGTAGGTATCCTAATCAATTAAACAGGGATCCATTGTGCCACAAATTGAATATTTGACAGCAAAAATTTGAATAATTAATCATTTTTATTTTCCAGTGTACTAAATATTCAGTCATTATGCAAATCTAGATTCCCTGTTTTTTCCCACAAATTGTCTTTTGACATCAAGTGATAACCAATATTACTAACATAATATATGTTTCAGCCTTACTTATACTGGTTCACTAATTCTATTTGATATGAAATTTTCTCTTCTATTTAGGTCAGTTTCCCTGTTTAACTTGTCAGAAAAGGTTCAAGACTGAGCACTATCTGAAAATGCATGTCCTCATCCACAGTGGAGAGAAACCATTCACATGTGAAATTTGTTCTGCTGCATTTAACAGAAAGGACAAACTCAAGAGACATATGCTGATACATGAATCAGTAAAGAAACACAAATGTCCCTTTCGCAATTTTACAGGTACAAAACAAATTAAAACTTCTATTTCATTGTAAGAATATTTCTATGTATATGTGCTGGACGATAAAAGTAAAGACTGATACTAACAATAATGTTATTTATCTACTAAAAATTTACAATGTGATGAGAGAAAAACCTATTTGCTTATTCACTAAAGCCTTCAACACTTGTCTAAAGCTCTTGAGAATCTGTTTAATGCAAAAAATCGTTTGGTACTTGCAATGTTTTATGGATTCTTCTGGAGACCCATAGGCGTATAAAAAGGAACAAGAGAGGAGCTTCTCTATATACATATTTCTTTATTGATCCATTGACTATGGTATATCTATCTAAGCTCGTACATGCCCTTAACTCTCGTTGTTTTCTCGGGGCTCAATTCAAATCTCGCGCCACTGCGAATATTTTTGAAGGGTTATGCCCCTTGCATTTGTTTACATTACAGTTAGTTTTTTTTATTCATGATTTATCCATGTTTAAACTGTTTTTGTTGATTAATTGAAATTGAAATTTATTCATTTTACTGATAAATAAGTTATTAAATTTTATAAAGTTATTGCTTCAAAGGAGGAAATAATTTTAAAATCTGAAACATTTTAAAATTTCAGATGTAAAATTATATGTAAAATATCTTTTGTTCATTATTTACATTTATTTACAATTTATTTTACATGCAATTTCACAATGTTTCAACTGTTGTGTCCTCCAGCCTTCATCAGGTGCTTATTAATCCATGTAACATTCAGGGTATTTGGAACTGAATCCATTATTTAATCTACAGAGGTAGATTATTCTCATTCTGCTGACCATGTCTAGGAACATCTCTTATTTAGTACTGCACAGTTATTGCTTGCTCCATTTCCACTGAGTCCAAGTACAGCTGCCTAGCTCAGACAGAAATCTTTTATTATAGTTCTATTATTTTATTTAGGAAGAATAATTTTCTTTGTATAAATTCACTTTCATCATATATTTAGGTTTTATTCTAATTCTAATCATCACTTTTTAAAACAAACATTGCTGAAGAATGAAGGTAGTTAAAATAATGGTGGTGTCAAAGGAAAACCATCATTTTGGCACACTGTGTTTTTGCAGGCATGAAGGTCCAAGTTTGTCTATTAATTCAAAAGAGATTTCAGTTTATATAATAAAGAATAATTGAAATGCTGCAAAAAAAATAGAATAATTTGAATAAAAATAAAATTCCTTTTATAGATTTAGCACAAAAATTCATTTTTAATATCATTGTTATTTGAATGTAATATTTTTTTTAAACTTTTTTAGTCAAAAATTAGAGAAGCCACTTATTGATATGACCATTTTTACATTTTTTTTTCTCCAGGTTGCACAAAGGAATTCAACCGACCAGATAAGCTAAAGGCACACATCATTACGCACAGTGGTGTGAAACCATTTAAATGTAAAGAATGTGGAAAAGGCTTCAGTCGCCGGCCCCATCTTGTTGAACATGAACGTGGCCATAAGGCTGACTATAAGTTCAAGTGCCAGAAGTGTGGGCGTGGTTTCTTCCGACCTAAGCTTTACCAAGACCACAAGTGCCACACAGTCAAGATTGGCTCTGATCCACAGATATTCCGTCCACGTAATCGGCGCAAATTAGGCCGTCCCCGCAAGCGTATGATAACAGTGACTTCAGACACAATGAACAAACAAAATGGAGAAAAGGAACAGGCCCCTCGCAAACGTGGTCGACCTCGAGGGAGGACTGCAGCCAAGACGCAAATATTGCCTCAGATGTGTATTCCTAATGCATTTCATGATACTCAAAGCCTACAAACAGGAGACCACATGGTTCTTGATGCAACAGACACAGCCACTCTGGGTGTACGTCCAGATGAGCCCGGGGTTTTGGACGGTCAGCACAATGCTGTTACAACTGCTGCTCTTGCCAATAATCAAGTATTGGCTCAAGCTACAACAGTGGGCCAGCAAGGTCCAGATGGTACAATTGCAATTCCTCAGACTGCAACAATTGATACAACAGTATCAGCTGGGGAGTTGACCACCAAAACTGCAGATGCTGTGATTGACCATTATGTTGTCCACTTTACAGAATCAACAGACTCTCACGGGACAACAATCCATGCTCAGCTTATTCCTGCATACCCATCAGGTACATCAGTAATGCCAGCTAGCGCTTCAGCCCTACAACCCATCACAATCATTGAAGCACAACCTGTGACAGTAGCATTGCCTGCAGTAGCAGATACCCCAACTATACAAGCTGCAGCTCTGCCAACAGATACTCAACAGACTTATACCTATTCCACAACTCTTGAAGATTTTGGAGCTGAGAGTTTGCTCAAGGAAACTGATGCTGTTATGCGATAAACTTTTTTCTTTTTTTTTTTTTTTTTTTTTTTAACAAAAACACTAAAAAGGGTTAATTCCATTCCATTTTCATCTCTAACACATGCTTACATGTCATTGTTCAATATATAAAAGTGTAAAATCATTTGTGTAATTATTTAAGTATGAATTCCTTATTTCATTTTATGTATGATGTGTGAAGGCTTTTGAAAAGTAACTTCCTATTTTTTTAATCTTTGTATAAACTTATCAAAATTCTATTTATCCTTAAATATTATTTTTAATTTATGTAAAAGTACTAAAATTACTTTGTTTCTCAGCTCATAATTCATTAAATGACATAAATTATAGACCACATTTAATGACTTCCTAGATCATCATTAAACTTTGTGTAATAAATTCAGGTATGATCTACCTTTAACATGATATCTATTATGAGAGATATGTAACAAAGGATAAGGGACAAATTTATCAGTGCATTATCTTTATATAACAATGCAGAGATCTTCTCCAAAGATTGAAATCTATTTGGTCTTTTAACTTTAAGGAAATATACTGAAGATGCATATTCAATTAAATTTTATCCTAACAGTTTTATTTTGTTTAAGAAAAATATCTGTCATTCCTAATGTTACAATTTTGCAATACCTGTACAAAAAAGAATTTTGGTAATCTTTTGTGACTGCAAAAACAGTGTGTCAAAAGGACTGTTTTTCCCTTGATACTGCTATTATTTTAACTACCAGCAATTTTTTTTTAAAGTGATGAATAGAATTATAATAAAACCTAAACACATGAAAGTAAATTTATGCATTTTCTTTGTTCTTAAGAATTGACAACAAAAATAATAAACACTATTCATTAGATTGTTTATTTACACTATTTATTATATTGTTCATTGGAATGGTTGGCAAAACCTTGGCTAATTGTCTGTTGATTCAAACTTTATAAAATGGTGAATAATAAGGATTTCCTTATAATTTGTATATTTTAATAATTTAGTAAATGTTTATAAATTTCTGAACAAAAATATGTTTTCATATCTATTTCTTTATAAATTGGTAAATGATAAATATTGTATTGCATTAGTTTTAAAACAATTGTATTAGTTTTTAGAATGTTGTAGATATAAAATTATTCTTGTAAATAAACAATTTAATAAATAAAAAATGTTTAATATTTTTCTTGTAAATTCTCAAGAAGAAAAAATGTGTATCAATTCACTTTCATCATATGTTTATGTTTTATTAAAATTCTAATAGTCACATTTTAAAACAATAAACATTGCTGAGGAGTGAAGGTAATTAAAATAATAGCAGTGTCAAGAAAAAAAACGTCCTATTGACACACTTTTTTTGCAGGCACAAAGGTTAAAAAATTTTTAATGAAGCTGCTCATTATATTCACATCTAAAGTTAAATTTATAAACATTTTAATGTTAAAGTTAAGTACATAAAATACTGTTTATATAATACTAAAATAGAACTACAGTGCATTCCAGCTTTTTATGTAAATAAGAAAAATTACTATAATATTAATGGTTGGAAAGTCACAAAATATAAGTCTTTTGTCCATGGAATATCCCAAAAGCAACAGCAACAAAGAGAACTGAGTTTATGCCTGAATATATAAAAACAAAAATATTTTTTAAACTATTTCACTTTTTATGCAGTCATCTCAAAAAGTCAGTGTGAAGGTAAAGACAAAAAAAAATGAAAGCTAATGAGTAACTCAGCAATAATTTATTTAGAGAAATGACTTAAAATGACAAGCTGGGTGCAACAGCAAAGCAGAAAAGTCATATTTATTTTCCTTCTCTCTAATAAATTGTTAATGCTCTGATGATTATCAATGTGGTTTAACCCTTTAGCATTCAACTTGCCCAGACCAGTCCTGTAAATATTGACTTTTAATGTTCGTCCTACCATAACCTGCCCCATGTAAATTCTGCCATATTATGACATCTTTGCAAATAATACAGGAAGTCATGCAAATAGTGAGACTTTGAGAGCCAATAATTACGAGGGGGGGTATGCATGTTGAATACTAATGTGTTAAATCCAAGAAACATGGCAGCCATGTCATATAACTGTCATCTTTTAAACCCTAATTTACCTAAATATTCATTAATTACGCTAGCAGCATGAGCTGGCACATTATTGCACATAAAAATGACTTTGAATCCTCATCTTCTTAAGCTGTGTCTAAAGGTTGGCTTTAGAAATTCAAAGTAGGCCAATTTAACACTATCATCCATCCAGAGGCCAACCAATTCATTACTGGTGATTTCTGTGCAAAGCATAACCTCTGGGTGATGCCTCAATCAAACAAGCTTCAGTTCTTCCTCCAGCCACAATCCATTTCTCCAACTGTCAGGGTCATCAATCATTACCCTACACATGTCCATGAATAGAACTTTCTGGAAATCCATTTCTTATACAGTTTGGCCCAGTTGACACACTTAACGAGACAATTTGAATTCAAAGGAGAGCAAATAATTGCTTTAGTACATCATACTCCAGTGGCTTTCAATGATATTTTACTACTCTTAAGTGGGTGCTTGTGTATCTGTTGTATGAATGGACAGTATTATCATTTTATGCCTCCTCCTCCTAGCACTTTTGTACCACAAACAATATTTGGCAGACTCATGTGAGTCCAGGTAAAAATACGAGGCAAAAGATGGAATTCAAACAAACAGCAATTAATAAATGTATTAACAAGACAGGTTACAGAAGGATATAGAAAGAAATGAAGTTGAAGTTATGAACAGTTTAATACAATCTTCAGTCTGTGTCTCTAAAGTACTTAAAGGCCTTGTGTCTATCAGAATAAAAAAAAATTGTTTTGTCACTCCAAAAGTCAAAGGGAAAAGAGGAAGAGCCTTTCAAATATCACACCAACTGAATATTGTCAGGAGGCAGTAATCCAACAAATGTTATTCATCCAGTAAATGTCAAAGCTTTCTATATCTTCCCTTTTGTCAGATCATATACTGTATGTAGCCTGGCTTGTAATAAATTTCTTGATTGTATGACAGTATCTGTCAAAGATTTAGCAATTACTACCATTGTTTAAGCATAGGCATTTCAACAATTTTTGCCTTGTCATCATTGCTCAAACATGCTTTTTTATGTTGCATAAAAATTGGAACAGTGGCAATGAAGCAATTTCACCAAAATGGTTGATATTTGGTTACTGTTATGCAGAACCATACCATTATTGGACACAGTTGGACATTATTGGACATGTTAGTGTTGCTAAATTTAATTATTCGTTGTCAATATTTGAAAAAATGTTACTTGCATAAAATGTTGAAAAACACTGTATATAATACAGGGTGTAACAAAAATACCTCCCACATAATGGTAAGACATTAGTTAGATGAAGTCATCATTGCTCCTAATGTAATACCATTATGTTAGAGATATTTCTGCCACACCCTGTATAAAGGTAATTTATTATAGAGTACAATGTTAATTTTATATATATAAAAAGAAAAAAGGAATTACTTTTCATATAGCTTGTACACATGATATAGATAAAGTAGTGAGTTAATTTGGTTTCTTTTAAATATTAAATGGCAATCAAAAACTACTGAAAATTTCTGGTAGTTAGTCTTGATTAACAGTTAGATGTTAATTCCTAATCCAGGCTGTTCAATGTAAGACATCATATTTAATAACATATTAATATTAAACAGGTTTCTCATAAGATTGGAAAGAAAGTCTTGTCACAATTTTTTAGAGATATAGTTGACTTATATTTAATGAGCAATTACAAATTCAATCAGAGTAATACATTTCTCCATTTTCAATGACATAATCTCATCAAGCAGGTAAGTTTATACTTGAGGTATCATTATGCCTCAGGTATAAATTATGTGTGTTTCAAAGCAGAAACGTTTTTTATAAATGGTGTACAGTTTTTCTTTCCAGGAAATGTAAATATATGGAAAGGTGATAATCTGACAGAGTAAAGTCCAGACAGTATAATGAACGAAATCAAAATGTCTATATCAGTGACGCTTACTTTTTTTCAAGAAGGATTGGTAGGATGTTGATAAAAATAGCTGTCCAAATTAATTATTTAATTACAAATCATGATGGACAACACTCTTCATATCCCACCAAAACACAGAGCACAACCTTGTCACAATGTAACCCTAGTTTTGGTGCAAACAAACGTCATTGTTTATTTTACTAAGTCTGATTATAAAAGACCCACCTTTCCTCTCTGGTGACAATTCTTTCCAGAAATAAATAGCATGTCTTGTCTTTAATGATGAACAATTGTCATCATCATGGAAACTCTATTGGCCAAGTTTTAACACTTTACCATATTCGTAGAGACAGGTTGTATTGTGTCATTTCTCAGGCTCAGCTAAAGATTTTTCTTCAATTACAATTAAAAGAGCTTGACTGTGAATTGAAATCATTCAACCAGAAAGATGAGGATCATTGAAATTCTCCAATCAAAGCTACTGGCATTTCTTGACACAAATATTACTTGCCACTCTTTTGTGAACTGGTAAAGCATGCATTATCTCAAATGGATGTCATTTTTATGAGTAACTTCAATTCAAAAATTATTCAAATTTTGCATTAAAGATTCCTGAAAGGAAATTTGTGTAGTGAAGAGGTGCTACAAGATTGTATTGGATGAGATTGTTGGTCACCAGTTAGTAACAGGAGTTATGACTCCTTGCTGATAAGGCTGAGGACTTTCAGAATAAATGAATTCAACATTTTTAAAAGAAACAAATTCAACATGGAGGATTTTACGCATATATTTTTATATAAAGAACAACATGGCTCAAAAAAAGGAGAGAAAAAAGTATATTTACATGTATACAGAGAGCTTCAAAAACAAAAGGAAATAAAAGCATTTATGTGCTTAGCTATTGTGCATGTGTGTGTGTGTTTGCATGGTTGTGAGTGAGTGGAAAATAAAGAAGTCAGTTTGCCATGCAACTAAGTTTTTACAGAGGGGGAGATTGAATATGTCTTCTACCTACCACATCCTGGAGTAAAAAGATGTTTATGTCTCTTGCTTTTATAGTCTTGAATACAATGACATGAAAAGATTAGAATGCTAAATTATGCATAACAACGCTTGATATAAACAACAACTTATAGCAAAACAAGAAACAGGACTTTCTTTTCCAACCTAATATGTAGCATACAAATGTATAATAATATATTAATGGTTAGTATTGTTTGGTAGTTGAAATATAAAATTTACTCATTTTTTTCAAACTGAGAGTTTAATTTCTGTTTAATTATTGACAGCCATAATTTGTTATTAAAACCTCAATCATTCTAATAAGCATAGTAGACTGTTGAAGATTCTGAATTGAAATGAGGTATATTTATGAGAATGTTCAAATTAATATTTTGCTGTTCATATATTTTCATAAATTGAAAATATGGATTAAATCCAGCAAAATGATTAAATAAGGAATGAGTAGGAAAACCTTTATTAATTTGGCATGTTTTGCTATTTTATTTTCACTTCATCAGCAATTTTTTTGAGAAGTGGGATGACAGAAACGCAGAGATATTTTGATATTTTTTAATTCTATGCTCTTTGTTTCCATTGGTCAGGTAGATGTCACATGTTCATTTGTGTGGCCTTAATATTTATATATGTGTGTATAAACTTTAGTGGGCATTTTGGGTATGTCTTGTAGTATCTGTATTCTTGCTACCATGTCAGGAATTAAACTTCCTGACATACTTCCCATTTTTCTCATTACTGTTTCAGAAATTAGATACACACGGATGTTTCAAGACAAACAAAATGCCCACTAGAATTTAGACATGCACACATACATACTAACACTACAAAAACTGAATACACAACATCTACCCAATCAATGAAAACAGACAACATAAAATTAAAAATATCAATACATCACCTCATTCTCCCCCAACCAAAATTTCTGATGAAGTTAAAATAGTAAAACATGTCAAATTTGTAAATGTTATTCCTTATTTAATCATATTTTCATGAATATAAATTGATAGATCAAGGTTGATATTATTTTAATAATAATCTGATCAACTTTTTTTGGTATAAAAATTGTTAGTTGCAATAAAAAGTTGATTTTTCTTATACCATCATTATGATATTATACTATATGAGGGTTGACTGAAAAGTTCATGGGCTGACCAAGATATAAATGTAAGTAGACACACCAGTTAGTAGGGCTTATAGTCATATAGAATTGAAACACCAATTCCCATAAAATCACTGAAGTTAAGCAATGTTGAGCTTGGTCAGTACCTAGACGGGTGATCACTTGGTAATACCAGTAAGCTGGGATGTGCGGGTGGTGTACTGGATAAGTGCTCAAAATTGTTAATTGGAGAACCAAGTTCCAATTTCAGTTGGGTTCATTATATTGACTTACACACAAATATCCTTGTGAAAGGTATGAATCCATCTCTTCTTCCCACTGTTATTGGTTAATTAGTAAGACTTGTATCACTAAATCATTATTATCACCCCCCCACCTGCCCCCACACACACAAATTTTTACAATCTAAAAATATTCTCTAGCTTTAAATAACCTGCATAAGGTTGATAAGCCATAGAAAACAAATCAACCAATCAAACACCAGTTGGTAGACTAAAAGACATACAAGTGCTGGCTAATCAGCTGTTGCATTCTGGTACTCTTGCATGTATTTTAATCTACCAACTGATGTGTCTACTTACATTTATATCTTGGTCAGCCTATGAACTTTTCAGCTGACCCTCATACTATAATGATTATGTTGGTCCATACTAGCTTAGCCTAACATGGCACAAAGCCATAAATTTGGGGCAACCAATAGTAATTGTCTGTGAGACTCACTTACTAACTACAATTCTATGATGAGATGCCCAAATATTTTTATTCTTTTTAATATTTTTCCAGTTTTTCAAAAAAAAAAAAAATTGGACAAAATACTAATTTTTACTTTTGCTAATATAATTCTATATATGTATATAGGTATCATATATAATTTTGTACCTATAATGTGCATGTATATATGTGTTTGTACAAATATATATATTTGTATATTATGTGGGCATATGCATGTCTGTATGTATGAGATGAAGTAGTAGAGAGTCAAAACTATTTTGAACATACTTGTAAATATTATTTGATAAAGTGAGATATGAATATTGGAATATATTATTATATGTTTATATATTTTATTTGTTTTTTACTAATGTCATTTGAAATATCAATAGCCATGTTTCTTGTGTATGCACATGTTAAATTGCCATTATATAAATGCTATACAGAGACTTATTCATACAAGAGAGTTACAACAAAAGTAATTGCTCTTATTTAATTATGTTGGCCCACATTGTCAGAAGTAGAATTTAACGGCCTTTCAGCCTATAGCTCATATTTTCTTTGCCTTGTGATGGATAACAGTTGAATGATAGTGTGGTATAATGAAATCTGACATGAAAGTAAATACAACATAGAGGATATACAGATGGTATAATGGTTACAGCTTGGTATGAGAAACTGGAGAACAGAGTTTAAATTCTAATCGAGTTCATGACATTCACTTAAGTGCAAATACCCTTGATAAAGGTATAAATCCATCTCTTCCCCCTGCTATGGGTTAAATATTAGGACTCGTATATACAAAAAAATCACCAAAATTGTTAATGCAATATTCACTTTCAAAAAAAAAAGAAAAAGAATTACTCTTACACTCCAAAATGTTTCAGCATTAAATAACCTACAAAGAGTTGATAAACTGTAAATAAAACAAGTCAGTTACTCAATCCATGTAGGTAAAAAATTGTTAATGCTTGATGAACATTTATGGAGACCAAACAGTTGATCTAAGCACAGTTAAGAAGCGAATAATGCATTTCAGCACTAGCAACAGCAATGTGTGTGATAACACATTCTTGGTGACCCTGCACAGTTCTTTGCCCCCATAAAATGAAGAGAGCCTTAGTTTGTGTCCACAGTTGAATATTGGTTTCAACATGTTGAAAATATTCTTGGCAACATTGGGATATTGCAAAGTTTGTGTCAAATGAGTCATACAGATGCTTACACAAGAACAGAAATCACCAAATATAAATCAGTCTTGACCTGCTAAACCACTATGAGGCTGAAAGTGACAGTTTCTTAGATTGCATCATTAATGTTTCACCCTTATAACCTGGGATCAAAATGACAGAGCATGGTGTAGAGATATATGAATCCAAAATACAACCATTAGTGAGCAAAGTGATGTTCACTGTCTTTTCGAATAGGAAAAGCATGATCCTCCTGGATTCCCTGGAAGCCAGACAAACCACCAATGCTGACTGTTATATTATGATGGTTGACATTTCTAGATTCAGGCCAGAGAAGACAGCCTTTTCCTTGCAGTATAATAAAACCAGGCCTCACACTAATTTGAGGACCATGAATCATATTTCAAATTTTGCTTGGACTCTCCTGTCACATCTACTTCTAACTTTCATCTGTTTGGGCCACTTAAAGAAAGATTACTTTCTGAGTGTTGTATACGTGTACCTGGTGCCTCATAGCACTCTACCCTGTCCGCAGTTGGCACTAATGTCTCACCCTAGGATAACCAATTTATTGCTTCCCTCTCCTTGTTCATAGTCCTTTGCTATGTTATTCTTGGTCTTCTTCTTTTTCCTTTAGGGGCCCAGGTCAGTGCCACATATATATGTGAGGCTTTAGAGAGAGTCTGTATGGCATTTACCTAAGGGCAGTTTCTTTTCTGTAAATTTACCCTTGTGCTGAGTTAGGAATCACTTTTTTTACAGCTAATTACTTATGTTGAATAAAAGATATATCAGTTTTTTCTTTATTCATGAAATGAAACAAATCATTGCTCAAATTTCTTCTTATTTTTTGTTAGGTAGTGTTTGTGGAGAAAAGTAGTAAGGTCAGTTTTCATCATATTTAAATCTTTTACTAATCAATCATCCAATTGACTCACAAAGATCATTTGAAAATATTACTGGTTCATATGGTTCACTTTTGTTGTTACCCAAATAATAAATTTACCCTTTGATTTCTGTTCTATACAAAATATAATAAAGTCCTGGTGCTGGTATGACTTAATATTTATGTAATTAGTATCTGTTAATTTATTTTAGATCAATGTTTACATTGTTATTTGGGTAATGTTCACATTATGCTACAGCTACAACCAACTTTGAATAATCATTAATGCATTATGTATGCTTGTTTGATTAAAAAGCAAATGATTTAATAAATTATAACAATTTCTGAAATTATATATGAATAAGAACTATTTGACATTTTGTCTATCACTTCCAGAAGTGTCATACACATATCCAACATAGTTCAGATGCTCAAATGTCTTCTTTCTATAGTTGCTGTTATGCAATATTTCAGACAATCCCTTCTTCAGCTCTCATCAGTTGTTTAAAGAGATAACAGGCTGTCCTCTTAAATAACCAAAGCTGAGGCAGAAAAATCTGGTATGGCAGACAATATCTGCAAAGAGAATAATAATTGTCAGAGTATTGTTGGTGAGTGAAGATGCTGAAGGAGGTGGCATATATTGGCCTATCATGAATTTCAACACAAGGTTTGCTTAGAAAAGTTGGTGTTGAAAAGCCTCCCTTCTTACACACACACACATACATATTCCAGCCCCTGGTGTAATTTGGAATCATCTGGGTACTTGACAATGTGAAAATAGACTAATACACAAGACAATACCTAGTGGATTAAAGCTTCGATTTGTGAATTTGGTGACAAAGTAATTATGAATTCAATCTTTGGGCCAGGCAATATGTATTTGGACTCAGTTGCAATGGGATAAGGAATAATTGAGCAGTACTAAATAATAACTAAACGAGACATATCCCTAGACATGGTCAGTGTAACAAGAACAATCAACTCCTGTAAATAAAAGAGTTCAGTTCAAAATTCTCTGAAGGTTACCCGAATTGACAAGCACCTGACAAAGGCCAGAGAGCACAATGGCTGAAATGTGATAACAACAAAAATGAAGACAATAGTTTGTGTGTAAATAATAGAAATAGACTAATACAGTGGATAGATTAATGGACAATTATTTGAGAAAAGAGGTTTCCTTACTTCCCACTATGGATTATATCTGATGAAGGCTGAAGAATAGATCAGTCAAAACAGAATATATACAAAGAGATTTGAACTTCTGAATCATGTTGGATATAGGACAAATTCTCTTCAGAATTACTGATGGCCAGCTTGAGAAGATTGCCATATTTATTAATGTTAAATGTCTTTAGACAAAGCTAATTTAACATGGCACATAATATTTTTACATGTCAAAAATTATTTAGCTTTAATTAATTTTTGCTATCCTTTGGAAATATTACCAAATTTAGACATATGCTGCAAATTTTTATGACATAATGATCATTTTAAACTCCACAAACTCATGAAAATCAATAATATCCTAAATTTGCTCCTGTGCTTTCATAAAACTTCAAATTTTAAGTACAAATAAAAAAATGTTCTGCAAACATGGATAAATGTGCCTGCAACAAGACATAGTTTGTCAAAAGGACAATTTTCCCATGACACTACTTTTTTAACTACCTTTACTCTTTGGCAATGTTTATTATTTTAAAAAGTGATGATTAGAAATGGAATAAAATCTAAACATATGATGAAAGTGAATTCATACATTTTTTTTTTGTTCTTGAGAATTTATAACCAAAATAATAAACACTATTTGTTAGATTTTTTATTTACAAGAATAATTTTTGCAATATTACAAAAACTAATACAATTAGAACTAATGCAATGCAATATTTATCATTTACCAATTTATTAGGAAATAAATGTGAAAATTTTTTATTCATAAATTTATAAACATTTACTAAATTATTAAAATATGTGAACCGACTATTAGGAAATCCTTATTATTTACCATTTTATAAAGTTCAAATCAATTAGCTGATGTTTTGCCAACTATTCCAATAAATAATATAAAAAATAGTGTTTATTATTTTTGTTGTTGCTTCTCAAGAACAAAGAAAATGTATAAATCCATTTTCATTTGTTTAGATTTTATTAAAATTCTAATCATTGCTTTTTAAAACAAACATTTCTGAAGAGTGAAGGTAGTTTAAAAAGCAGTGTCATGAGAAAAAAAACCCATTGTTTTGACACTATGCCTTATTGCAGATACATTTATCTATGTTTGCTAAATATTTTCTGTGTCCCCATTTCTTTACATTTTCTTATTTCTAGATCTTGAAAGAATTTTTAGAAAGCTAAAGACGATGCCCTCATCTGGTATCCTTATTTAATACTTGCA